CAATTCCCAGCTCCCCAAGTGTCTCTCAACTGTCCATTCACCTGCCTGGTTTTGTTTCTTTAACAGAAGATAAACAATAAATTATGCAGCCTGAGGCTGAGATTCCAGGTCATCCCCCAAAACTGACTTAGAGGCAGCAGGGTATCAACATGTGGTAACTGCAGAAATTAGTTAAAGAAGTCCCTGAGCAAGCTGGAGTTAGGAACAAACAGTTCTGCCTTGATTTGGTTTATTATGAAAGGCTGGTGTTGAAACACAAAATGGAAATATAATGGAATTTGATGCTGGTAAGATCAAAGAAAGCTTGTACTATACTGCCCTGCAGTGCAAGTATGTGATGTTACCATGAGGTATTTTTTCCTTGGCTTTGATAGTCTGTGACCTCTATTTATAAAGACCAAGAACCATTACATTTGTCCTCTGAGTTGGTTTAGTATTTTTTCAATCCATTTTACCCTTCTATATATATATACAATGGACAACTGTGAGGTAACAGATACAAGCTACTCCTTCAATTCAACAGGAAAGAAAACACAAATAGATCCAATTCCCATTGTGCTGACAGCTGAACTCGTATTGGCCAACCCCTGAGCACATCTGAAGGCCTGTAATATTCAGAAATTTCAGTTCACAGCCTGCCACCACCCTTAAATTCAGATTTTGCAGCAGTTTGGACATTTTCAGTGTTTCAACTCGCAGCTACATTCTTGTAGGACAGCAGGGAGGGACCTTGAAGCAGAAAGCTGAAATCTCCAGTCTCCAGTAATGACCCAGACTGAAGGGTATCCAGGCAAATTAATTGTCCATGTACTTCTTCTTAATTTAAATGTTTGAAGAAAAGAAGAAATCACATGTCAGCCTATCAGCTCTTTAATGCTTTGAGTAATTCAGCAAGAGATGGGGGTCAGAGAATGCTAAGACAGGGGATCAGCATTTTCTCAGCACATTGTCTAATTAGCTCCTGACTCCCTGAGAGACTTCAAAATATTAACCTGACAAAGTTGGTGCCCACAAAAATTCCATATTATCTGGGAACTTTCCAGCTCCTTTCAAAGCTGGATTATGCCTATCTGTTCTGTGCATTTCCTTGTGATATGAATTTTATAGACTGCAATCATTATTAGGCAGAGGGCTGTTCAGAGACAGGGACTGACTTGCACACTCACTGCTTGTCCTTGCATTAACGGGGGGTTGGGGAGAGACCACGACAAAGTATAAGGGTGATTGCTTAGAAAATCCAGTAGGATTCAATCAGTTGCTGCTTTTAAATCAAATTTATTTTAAATAGCACACGGATGAGGTGGGAATTTTAATTAATTTCAGCCAGAGTCTTTTCCTAAAGAAAACATGGATATTTAGAATTACCTGGAAGAATGAGAAAGCAGACTGATCTTATCATGGATAATTCTCAGGGGTGTTCCTTACAGAGGGAAAGGGATTCAGTGATTTCAGTGACAGTAGCTCAGCTACAGTGTGATCTGGCCTGTGAGTATCTGTAAAGGAATAAAAAACCAATCTCTAAACTGCATGGAGAATTTGGAATCTAGATATGCAGGATACAAACTCATCTGAATCAACCTATGCCTGGGATTGCCACTGAGTGCAAACACAACCTCCTAGAAACAACGGGGAAGGAAGGGCAGAGAATAATTATCTCCCTGCACCAGCATTCCTCTGGGAATGCTTGATAAATACACTGTATTTACTGTGTCCTTGTGACAAAATATTGACTTCCATGACATTAATTGTGAGCAAGTACTAAAGCACTGGTCTCTGTAGGATATAGCTTATTTTATAAAACTTTTAATGGCATATTTAAAAATAAGTATAAATTTTAAGCAACATGCTCAAAGAACAAAAATTGATTGCTTACTGCAAAACCTCACAATTTTAGTCCTCCCTGTCCCTTTATGACTCATAGATGAAATACAGTTTCACTTGCATTAAAAACAGAGAACATCAGCTTCATGTGTTTTACTCCAGTTGTTGTTATTTATATTAAACTGATCAGAAATTCGCTGCTTTTGCCCAAATGTGCTGAGCACCCACCATGAGTTGCAGAGCTCCCTTTACTCCTGTTGACTCATGAGATGATCAGCAGACATTACACCTGCTTAATTCAAAGAACAGGTCTCAAAGCCCCAACCAGCTGATCAGAGAATATCCTATTTCAGCTTTTCTGTAGAGAAAGCAGCACTCTGTGGTTGGTCCCTGTTCCCATGCACTATCTGACCATTTTAGATATAAGCGTCTATTTTTGTTTATATGGTCTATCCCATCCCCTTCTTTAAAAAAAACCCAACAATTAAAAACTATGAATTCTCTTAGGCTACACTGTACTGAGTCATCCTGATCCTGCCACCAGAAACACAAACCTTGGCTCTTGTCCAGTGATCCCACCGAGTGTGGCTGCTCCCAGTTTCCAGCACTCAGCCTCTCAATCTGATCTCACCTTTGTTTTCACTTATTCATTTTAGCTCCTGCTGTTTCCCCCTGTACTTACAGGATCACAGGAATACTCCCAAGCAATTTTCCTCCAGTCAGTGCACATTTCACTGCAGTTCAGTTATGTATTGATACTGCAGCCACAGCTGCTCCCAATTTTAATTCCTTGCAATGTTTCAGAGAGAACATGAGTTTTTCATCCGGATATTGGCGAGACTACTCACTTTGGGAGTGCTGGCAACACGTAAAATTAGGCAGGTCAGCAGGCCTTTGCAGGCAGGACAGAGTTATAGTAGCTTTCCTCTAAAAGAAACCCACATCATTATTCAGGCATTATAAATTACACCACTTTTAGGGGGAAAGGAGAGTAGTCATTTGACATGGCACTGTGTGACAAGGAGTGAATATTTGGCTGAGGGCTCTAATGCACACCTCCACCTTGATGGAAAGTGTTATGGAATCTGTAATATCTACACAAAACCAGCAGGACCTTAGCTTAATAAGGTCTCATCCAAATGACTTGCTCACTAAACTGCATGGAATTCAATTTCTCTACCTCTGAAAGATGAAGGGCAAGTTGGTCCTGCCAGGCATTTAAATTTATGGCTCCATGGCCTCGAAATGTGAAATGTATAGCATTAAATAAGCCTGCTCAGTGGCTAGATAACATCACATGGTTTTCTGATCTATTATTTAAAAAAAAAAAAAAGAAAGGAGGTGGGAATATGTGGGAATACAATCATAAAAAGGAGGCAAAGGCTACATAATTAGTACTATGTATTGCATACACAGGCATTCAAGTGAAAAGATGAGGCAACTTTTGGCAGAATATCTTCCAAAAAAAAAAAAAAAAGAAGAAGAAAGGGAAGGAAATCATCATAGAGGTAGAAGGAGACTGAAAAAGATGACTTCTATCTGTCCTCAGCTGTCTTGTGTGCCTAGAAGTCACTTCTATAAATGACACCCTATCCAAGTGCATGAGACCAGGTCACTTCTCATGGCTTTCACCCACCACATCAGCCAGGCAGGAAACAATTCCCTCAGTTCACACAGTGTGGTGGGTTCTCTTTCTGGCCAATCAAGTGGAGAGCACTTGCTGGGATTTGAGTAGCCCCAGTTTAAAATGGGAGGCTGGAATGAGTAAGGTATCCTCACAATTTCCACGGGAGACCATTTTTCCTGCCTGTAATCCATTACTGCAAATCCCAACAATAATTCAGAACAGTGATAATCCCCCATGGCATTGACCCTAAAGATCTTTACAGCAACACAAATGAGATCAAAGGACAAATGAAAGTCTCTTAATCCCCCTAAGTGTGAGTTCAACCTAATCTTACATTTCTGTCTTTTAATTCTCTCTAAATCTGTTTTTAACTTTGCTTAACATTCATTATCCTTTTTCATGCCCTAATTCTGCAAGAAAAAAAAAATATAGCCCACGTGTGGGAGTACATTCAACATTTCTACACGGGGATGGTGTTTTTAATATGAAACACCAGTTTGTCAGCAATTAGAGTGGGAAGTAGGTGGAGGAGAGAAGTGGATGGAGGATATACAATGGAGGATTAAGATTGATGAATGAGGTGCAGAAAGGCTCCGTGGTGATGGCTGTGCCACTTGTGGGAGCACAAAATCTAAATAAAAACTTTTCAACGGGAGATTGGCAGGAAAAAAAAATAAATAAAACCAAACCAAAACCAAAACAAGCCCACAAACAAAAAACCCCAAAGAACAACAAAACCCACCCAACACCCCCCCTCCCCGAGCATTCCTGAAGTTACCTGGCATGATTTGATCACAATTAGCTGTCCCTTCTACCTTGCTGACCTCATGTCATACATAAAACATCTCATACCTTTTGACTGTTTCATTAATGGGGTCCTGTATTAATTTTGCTCTCGCTCAATAATGTTTGGAAGCCATGCCAACACTTTTCTGTTACACAGATTTGTGTATTTTGGGACATTGAAGGCTTTTTTCATTAAGTATTATTCTTTGCTAATGTGTAGTTAATAACATAATGGAAAAGCTTTTAAACTCCTCTGAGAATTAAACCACTCATACTTGTTTAACTGCTTGATTACCTAATGGATACAGTGTGGGATTTAATATTCTGCTCATTTACATTACTTACCAGAAGAAAGGAGACTTTTAACTGCTTTTTCTAAAAACAACAGTAAATCATGTTTAAGTTGATTGATTTCTGCATACATATTAACACAGACTAATGAAAGGCACAATATCTTCACAATCCACGCCATCATGTTCAACTACTGCTGAATATTAGATTTTTTTTTAATTTTTATTTTTTGCTTACACTGGAGAAACAGCATCCCTATTGTATGGTAGAATTTGACTTATCTCACAGCTGGATTCACTCCTTTGTCCAAAGTGTGGTGCTAAGTTAAACTAAAATTCCATTTGGTCTGTAATTAACAGAGCTACACTGATTAACGCCAACCACTGCTCCAGCCTTATACATCTGGTATCATAATTGAAAATCAGACATGAGAAAACTTTTAAGGATTAGATTATATCTCCTTTATTCACTCTGAGAAATACTTTATCCCCTAACACAGTCATTAAAATGGACATCAGCCGAGAACAACAGTAGAAGCTGCAAGCACCTCACAGGCAACTCTTCAACGTGTTCTCTCTCATTCCATCCTGCCTTCTCTCTCCCACAGATATTCCAGTAGCTGCATTGTGAGGGTGAATTTATGACACAGATTAAAATCTTCATACATAACCCTGGTCTGAAACATCCCCAGTCATTCCCAACGAGGATGTAAAAGTTAACTGAGCACAAATCTCCATATATAACTATCAAATTCACCACCTCAGAGTCAGCCATTCATCCACGTCAGCATCTCCAGCAAACTAACAGCTCCAAGCTGTCTCCTCAAACAAGAGCACTCTGCATTTAAAAAAAAAAGGCAGACAGAAATGTGTAATAGAGAGAGAACTGTGCAATAAGGGCAGTTCTCCAGGTACATTGCAGTGCTGATTGATGAACTTCTGCAGGCCTGATTACTCTGCCACCACAGTGTTCTTATTCTCCTCGAGGGGCACTGCTGATCCTCATGGATCTATCCTGAGATCCCAGCACTGCTCAGCATGAACAGGCAATGAGGGAGCAGGGACACACTCACAGGTGGATACAAAGAACCAAGATTGGATTGACAGGAAGCTGAACATAAGCCAGAGTGTGCCCAGGTGGCCAAGAAGGCCAATGGATCCTGGCCTGGATCAGGAACAGTGTGGCCAACAGGTCCAGGGAAGTGATTCTTCCCCTGGACTCAGCGCTGGTGAGGCCACCCCTGGAGTGCTGTGTCCAGTTCTGGGCCCCTCAGTTCAGGAAGGATATTGAGGTCCTGGAGCAGGTCCAGAGAAGAGCAACAAGGCTGGGGAAGGGACTCGAGCACAAGTCCTATGAGGAGAGGCTGAGGGAGCTGGGGCTGTTCAGCCTGGAGAAGAGGAGGCTCAGGGGAGACCTCCTCACTCTCTACAACTCCCTGACAGGAGGGGGGAGCCAGGTGGGGATTGGTCTCTTTTCCCAGGCAACTCTCAGCAAGACAAGAGGGCACGGTCTTAAGCTGTGCCAGGGGAGGTTTAGGTTAGATATTAGGAAGAATTTCTTTCCAGAGAGGGTGATCAGACATTGGAATGGGCTGCCCAGGGAAGTGGTGGATTCTCCGTCCCTCGAGGTTTTTAAGACAAGATTGGTGTGGCACTTAGTGCCACAGTCTAGTAACCACAGCGGGGTTGGATCAAGGGTTGGACTTGATAATTTCAGAGGTCCCTTCCAACCCAGCTGATTCTATGATTCTGTGATTCTATAAGATCTCAACAACTATTCCCCTCAGATAACCCCAAGTCCCTGGGCTGCCCACATTCCTGAGGGAAATCACAACAGCACAACTGACATCCCAAGAGCTGTTCTCTCTTACAGAAATGGCCACATTTAGAACCTCAGAATCGCTACCCTGACGTGTTTTACTGAGGATGCTGTGAAAAATTAGCGTCATGAGCGCGAAAATAATCATAATCAAAGTGATTGAAAATTACTGTCATGAATGCTGAAACAATCAAATCCATAAAGTGCACCACAATATTTTACTAGCTACTCCAGGCCACACATCAAGTTTGTCAAATGATATTTCTGCAGTCTGAGTGGCAGCTGTGATCCAACACAATCACACCCGAAATGCTCTCATTAGCTGGATGGCTGGTACAAATGTGTGACCTGCAAGGGCTGGCATCTCACAGAAGTCTGGTAGATAAACAAAACCAGCAAAAGGCAGAGAAACATCAAAGCAAATGAGCGGGATATGTACAACCCTCTTCGGTTGTTAATAAATCTCCATTTTTCTCTTCTGATGAGGCAATATGCTTTAAGAGAATTTCTCAGGAAAGGAAAAAAAAAAAAAAAGGATAAAGTACCAGACAAATGTTTCAGTGGAAAACTCTCAAGCACTGAATCAGTTATTCAGTTGGATTATATGGAATTCTGAGTTCCAGATGTGCACTACCTTCCTCCTTGCCCTGGACTCCTCTGAAAGGAGAGTCAGGAATGCAGACAGAGAAGACTGTGGGGTATTCCATGAGGGTTCTAGGATGCAAGGAACATCCAGAGCACCTTGCCTTGCAATAAGAATTCAGGCAGGATGCATTCATGGGGACTCAAGACTTCAGTATGCCACAGAGTGGTGGGATGGCTTTAGAGAGTGCAGGTTTAGGTGGGATATTTGGAAGAAATCCTTCCCCGTGAGGGTGGGGAGGCCCTGGCACAGGTTGCCCAGAGAAGCTGTGGCTGCCCCTGGATCCCTGGAAGTGTCCAAGGCCAGGTTGGACGGGGCTTGGAGCAACCTGGGCTAGTGGAAGGTGTCCCTGCCCATGGCAGGGGGTGGAACAAGATGATCTTTAAGGTCCCTTCCAACCCAGCCCATTCCAGCTGGGTATATCTGCTGGTATTTATGCACATAAGAGAATCGAGCCTTTTGAGTTGATACACATGTGACTGTAATGCAGAATTCTGCAATATAAAACAAAACCTCTAAATGTAAGGGAATATGTTCCCCCTAAAGTCACAGAAGGGAAGGAAGGTCTTAAATCATGTGAATAAGCAATTGAAACAGAATAAACAATTCCATTTGAGCCTCCAGTTAATTCTGGCACTGTAGCTGTCAAAAATTCATCTGAAGCACTTGCTGCCTAAATTGAAGGTTGGACATCCAAATTGAAATGTCATTTTTATTAGTCTCTGACACTTAGAGAAATAGCCTCTTCTCTTCTAGTAGGCTATAGCCATTAACTCCCATTAGTGCTAATGGAGTTATGCACATACATCACATGCACATACATCACTGAGCACCTTTGGAACACTCATAATGTCACATTAGATAACAGCTGTTTTATTGCAGTATAGGAAAGTGATTCCAGGTGAGGCTGGTCAGGCCCATTAAGACCTATATTGGTGCACTCAGTGCTCTAACATCTGGGGCAAAATAGAATTTTTAAACACACACTGCAAAGAGACTTAAATCCAGAGCTGCAAAGCCAAAAGGGATCATACCTCAAATTTTGCCCAAATTATATATATAATCCCAGAATTTTGCCACCCTTCCTAAGGACTTGTTCTCCCTGCAGACCTGTCCCTACCAACTCTTTTGGGAATGGACTGTACAACCTCCAAGCCACCTCAGCTGTGATAGACAATTATAGTTATCTGTCCAGAAATACTTGCATTTCCAATTTTAACATAATTATCCTCATAACCCCCCATTAAAATGCAGAAATGTGATCATCCTGATTCTACTGATGGGCAGTTCATGCTTAGAGAATTAGCTGAATTGCCCACAGTAATTTAGGAAATCTGTTGCAGAGCCAGGCCTAAAACTAGGGTTATACATGGCCTCTAACATGGAACCAACCTTCCTCTTGGAAAAAAATAAGAATTTAGCCTCTCTTAGGCACTCTTAGTGTCCCAGTGTTACTCCTGTTTCAGTGTAATAACATGTAAGACAGAAATTCTCTGACTTTTTTAATTGACAGGCAACTGAGAATCATGGCTCATGAAAGGATTTTTGGATTTTCCCTTTTGTGTGCCTGCCAGAAAAAACAGAATTTTTTTTCTCTGTTATTTGCATTTCAGAATCACTACCCTTGTGCCTACCATGCTTTTTTAAAAACCTGAAATTTAGGTTATAAACAAGAAACTGAGGTGCTACAAATATCCATTAACAACAAGGAAAACCCGATCCAAGGAACCTTCTGGCTTCAGCAAGTTTTACTGTTCCTATTCATGGTGTGAAACAAGGAAAATAGTTGAGATCAGACAATAAACGAACTCTTTGGAATATATATAATAATATATGTTGGACTTCAGGACATCATTGCAGCCTTCATTATGTTGCATGTTAGACACAGTGAACAGTGTTAATTAACACCTGTTAATTAAATTGCTTTGAATCTTTAGCTGAAGGCTAGTGGTATAAAATTCCAAATTGGAGCAGGGTGGTTCTGTTTTCCTGGTTTTTGGATGCCTGGATACCATCACCCTGCAGATATGCAATGAGAATGATAACATCTGCTCCGTGTTCAGCTTAAATGTCCAGTGTTGTACAGCTCTTTAACTAACTGAGGTGCCCTGGAAGCTTGAGGTCGTTTCGGGGTGATCTGAATCAAACCTTTCCTCCCCAGCTGAGCCACCTCTGATCTCTGCAGCAGCACAGGCTGCTCTGCCCCTGGTTGTGCACAAGCAGGATGTCACATCTCAGAAGACAGAGCCCACAGAGGGGGATTATAACAAACCCCACGGCAGTGCTTGTGTTTATTAAGCACTGTGCCCGTTGTTATAATCCCAAAATGCCTTGCATTATGGATTTGCCATTCCTGGCAGCACTCTATCAATAGGAAATGGAGTTGAATCTTTTCAGCTGAAGATAAGTGTGACTAATTGCCATCTTCAAACAGCTCTTGCACTGAATTAATTCTTGCACTTAGACACCATGTTTTATTAATGTTGGGATCCAATCTACCACAAAGGCAAGTATGTAGTAATAGTGAAAACATTTACCATTGATTGCAATATCAGCTCCTAACAGCTCTGGGGCACTTCTCAGATACCAGTTAAGAGAACCCAGTAAACTGTGCAGAGCTCCAAGCAGCTCTATGCACACTGCAGTGTTCACCTTAGTCATCCCAGTTCCTTTTGTGCAGAGAACAGATGGCAACAGAATCTGATTTCTGGTAGCCCTGTACAATCCCTGCTAAGTGGTTGTCAGAATTTACTGCCATTGTTACGTGCTGTAGATGCACCAAGTGGAAATTTTAGAAAGACTTTTATAAATGTCACTGTAAAACGCTTTCACCTCTGGAGCAGTTGGGTTGAGAACCCTCCAGCATGGTCAGACAGGCTGCTAGAAAATACAAAATACGAAAGGAAGAGAGGCCCTCACTGAGCTTTGAGGCTGCACCATTTTTGGGGTGTAAGTGGAAGGTGGGAGGGGTTATTTCTGTGGGACAAAACAACCTGCCTTTAACTCAGAGGTCACTGGGGCAGAACTGCTGATCCCTCTTTCCAGATAGTTTGAAAGCTGATCCCACGTGCTTGGATTGCACGTTTATTTTGTACTATTTTGTAGCAATACATAATGCAATATTGCTGCAAAAAGAACAACTGAAAAGCCAAACAACCCTACATCTCAGACATTTGGAGTTTGAGTGACCTGCCTTCCACCCAGGCTTTTACAACATGTGATGACACTGCTAAAACAGACAGACTGAGAAAGAATCAGCAGCTCGCCATGCAAACAGGTTAGTAAATCATTTTAGGGCTGAAAGAAGCTTTTATATTAATGAAATGGCTTTGTATTACAAACCTAATCTGGATAACCTGCTTAATTCCTTGTCATC